CGGCCAAGAGGCCCACGCCGGCCACGGCCACGGCCACGGCTCCGGGCAGCGCCGTGCACGACATGCTGGCGGAGATCTTCTGCCCGGCGGGCGGCGCGGACCCGCAGGAGGAGTGGCACGCGCAGGTGGCGGAGGAGCTGAGCAACTTCAAGTCGCAGAAGCCGCTGGGCCTGAGCGAGGACCCGCTGCGCTGGTGGGCCGACCGCCTGGCGCTGTTCCCCGTGCTGCCCAAGGTGCTGCAGAAGTACTGGTGCGTGCCGGCCACGCGCGTGGCCCCCGAGCGGCTCTTCGCGTCCTCGGCCAACGTGCTCAGCGCCAAGCGGAACCGGCTGGCCCCGGCCCACGTGGACCTGCAGGTCTTCCTCTACGAGAACTCGCGGGCCGGCCTCGGCCTGGCCGGTGGGACGGAACCGGAGCCCGAGGAGGAGGACGAGGGCGCCTGGGGCTTGGACCAGGAGCCCGCGTGCCTCTTGGGGGACGGCCTGGGCGGCGGCTTCCCGTAGGACCGGCCGGCTCCCTCGGGCGGCGCTGGCGGGGCTGCGAACCCCAGGAGCGTCGCTGGATACGCAGGACCCAGAGGGCAAAGCCCAGCTCGTCCTCCTACCTTTCCCTCGGCCCAAGGCACACCCGGTTTCCCGCAAGAGCCTGGAAAACCCAGGGACATCTCGGGGCAGGAGAGAGGCTGAGACAGGAGGGTCTCTCGGGCTCCCTACTGACTGAAGACTCTTTGTTAGTGTCTTTAAACCAAGCGTGCTACAGGCCAGTTTTCCAGCTCGAAGTGAGGTCCAGGAAAGGGCGCTCGAGTCTGTTCTCTCTCAAGGCTCCGGGTCACGTGCAGGCAGGGGGTGTTGATTTGCTAAAGGAAGGAGCGGACACGTTCAGCCTTCCTGGAGAGAGAGGGAACTTGGGGAACCGGAAGACGTCCTCCCACAGCGTTAGCAGAAGCCGGGTCGGGGGAGGACGGGCAGAGGAGAATTTTCACCAGTGGGGCGTGGCAGGCGTTGAGCTTGAAGGCCAGACGCCTGTTTTGAAAGGGCGGGATTTGGTCGTCCTGCTCCCCTCAGAGGCGGAAAACGATGTCCCAGTGGTCTGGGAGGCTGAGGCGGGAAGATCTCAAGTTGGAGCCCAGCCTGGGCAATGTACACACGTAGGAAGACCCTGTCTATAAAATAAAATAAAAAAAAAGGAGGGATGTAGCTCAGTGCAAAGGCTCTGGCTTCAAACCCCCGTTCTGCAGAGGAGAATAAAAGGAATGTGATTCCTCGGGGTAGCGTTCTGGCAGCGGCATTCTGTGCGGTTCCTTCCCTCTCTGCTCTCAGGTGGGAAATAGAGTAGCAAAGGGCCTCTTTCCATGTCTTGAAACCCGCCTTGCTTTTTAGACGAATCTCCCAGCACCCTGGGAGGCTGAGGCAGGAGAATCTCAAGTTGGAGGCCAGCCTGGGCAACTTCTGCAGCTCCTTAGGAAAATGAGGATTGCCCCAGCTGGCGGCCTCTCTAAATCTCTCTCTTTTTTTTTAATTTTTAAAATCTATGATTAAAAAATAAATCTATGATCAGTGGCACCCCTTTCCTTTCTCTTCTTGTTAAGTCATGCTTAAAAAGATTGGACTCTTGTTCAATAAACTGAAGAGATAAACCTGCTTCTAACAAACGTGTGTGCTGCGTTTCAATTTGTGTGTTCTTTCCTTTGGGCAAATGTCTAACCTGGGGAGAGGATTTTTGATGACCCTGGAAAAAGCAAACATCTTCATGGCTGTGTAGTACTCCAGTGTATGTAGAGAGCAGATTTTCCTTACCATCTGCTGAGGGACACACAGGCTGCTTCCTGGGAGCTGTGCTGCTATAAACACGCGTGCGTGCGGGTCACTGGGGTACGATGTCCTTAACTCTTTCGGGAAGATGGCTAGAAGGAGAACAGCGGGGTCAGAAGGAATTTCTACTTGAGTTTTCTGAGGACTCTCCATGCTGATTTTCATGCTAACTGTCCTCCTTTACATCGCACCAACGGTGTAGAGGGCTTGTTATTATTTCTTTTTTTTTTTTTTTTTCCGGTACGGGGAATTGAACTCAGGACCTTGCGTTTGCCAGGCAGGCAGTTATGCCACTACTTGATGCTCCTTGGAAGAAGGAAAAATTGGAGGTGTTTGTAGGAAAAAAAGACTGTGATGCGGACGTGAAAATAAAAAGCAAAATAAATAGATAACAGGAAGTCAGGAGACGGATCTTTTGTGCAAGGAAGCTGAGAAACAGATGTTTACAAAGCCGGCTGTCCCCGGAGCGCTAGCGGGAGCTTCCCGGCTCTGTGCTCTGGGTCTCGGGACCCTCCGGCTGTGAAGTCCTTGGGGGTTTATTTTTACTCTCTGCACCCGGCTCTCAGCAAGTGGAGGTTGGTGGGCGCCGGGTCCTCATGCTGACCTCCCAGCAGGGCTGGGCACAAGCTTCCCCGTCGGAAGTTGGGGTCTTTGTAGGAAGTTATGATTCCTTGTCTCCCTTCTGCCTGTCTTTTACATCTTCTGTCCCACCTCATCATGCTGAAAATACCTAGGAGAAAATAACTGACATCTGTGAGCCCCGCCCTCAGGAGGCTGAGGCAGGAGGATCACTGCAAGTTTGAGGCCAGCCTGGGCTACAGGGTGAGACCCTGTCTCAAAGTCCAAAAAAAAAAAAAAAAAGAAAAGCAAAAGACCAAAATAATAATGAGATACTCAGTCACATGGCAATTTTGTAGTAAGTTAGATGACCAACAAGTTTGTTTGTTTTTCATATGACTGGAGAAAGGTCAGCAGGTTTTCTCTTGAAGGAGTTTAGGGCCATTGCAAGTTTCATTTGCTTTTCTGTTCTTGCTTTTTTGAGACAGGGTCTGTGTAGCCCAGGCTGGCCTCGAACTTACAGTGATCCTCCTGCCTCAGCCTCCCAAGTGCTGGGATGACAGGGGTGCTCCACCACACCCAGCCACGAGTTTCTTAGGAAGAGACGTCCCCTGAGCCAGAAACAGTCCCCTGACCGGGCCCTGAGTGACCACACGCTGGTCGTCAGGGTTGTGGTCCTCTTCAGCTTACCCACACGCAGCTGGCTGCGTCCTGGCTCCGAGCCGTGCGGGGGCCCGGCTCCCCCTTCCTGTACCCGCGGGTGGCCGAGGACAGACTGCTGTGTGTGTGCACAGAGCTGCACGTCTGTGTGTCATGCATGTGTGTGTGTGGCACTGTTGGTATGTGTGTGGACCTGCAGAAGTCATTCCCAGCACCACATATGTGTTCATGTGTGTTTGTGTGTAGATGGCTGTGTGGATGTATATAGCACTGTATGTATGTATATATATATATATCACTATATATGTGGATGTATATAGCGGTGTGTGTGTGTGTATATACATATATATATGTGTGTGTGTATGTGTGTGCATATATATGGAATTCCTAGGACCACACACACATACTAATGTGTATTCATATTTAGGTGGGTCTGTGTATGTATGCATTATAGTGTGTGTGTGTATCTATATATATAATCTTTTCAGTTTCTTACACTAGGGAGACAATATCATGTTTACACATGTGGGTCTAATTTATTTCACTTAGGAGTATGGTCTCTAGTTGCACCCATTTACCTATAAAAGCCTCGAGTTTATCTTTATAGCTAAGTAATGTTCCATTATATAGAAGTACCACATCTTTTTTATCCATTCCTCAGTGGATGGACATTTGGGTTGTTTCCAAGATTTAGCTATGGTAAATTGTGCTGCTATAAACACAGGTGCACATGTATTGCTGTGGAATATTACTCAGCTATAAAGAAACATTAACTTGAGGCTTTTGTAGATAAACGGATGAAACTAGAGATCCTACTCACAAGTGAAATAAATCAAACCCACATGTGTAAACACCGTATTGTCTCCCTGGTGTAAGAACATGAAAGAGTGAATAAGATCCAAAAGGTACAATAGATACTGTGAAAGGGAAAGAAACTGCCCAAAAGGAAAGAATAACTGGGATGAGGGAAAAGAGAAAAAGAAAAAAGGAAGGGAAAATATATACAGAAGATACCTAAGGTAATTCTACCACTAGTTTGTGTTGGTTTATTTAAAGGGACAGTTAATGCTTACTTTTTAAATCATTTTTGCATGCCTATGTCTGGTAGCTTGATCAGCTACTTTGGAGATAACAGTACGCAATATAACAACCATTGTTGATTTCCAAAAAAAAAATGTATATATATATTTATGTATCACAGTATGTGTATGTATGTGTACATCTAGATATAATTCCCAGCACCACACACATATTAACATGTATTTATATACACGTGTATACATGTGTGCATAAATGTATCAGTACATACATGATCATAGTATGTGTATGTGCATGTATAATACCCAAGGATGGCACACAGATGTGTATTTGTATATAGGTGTATATATGTGCATAAATGTACATATCTCACTGTATATGTCACATCTGTACTCCTAATATGTACATACGCATGTATATAAATGATTGTCAGTATGACACACATATACACCTATGTGCATGTATATGTGCATAAATGTATATATCACATTATATAATATATATTCACATACATATGTGATTTCCAGTATCACACACAAATATACACATATATGTGTGTAATTGTATATATCACAGTGTATACATGTCACAGTATTATAACTATATGCATATTTATGATTTCTAGTACTTCACACACATATTTTTGTATATATATCTGTGTAAATATATGTATGCATCAGTGTATATATGTCACAGTGTGTACATGTGTATAGTTATATGTATCAAGAATATATGTCACAGCATGCATTTATATCTGTGTATATATGATTCCCCTCAATTTACACATATGTGTATATTTGTAGAAGTATACGTGTGTATAAATGTATATATCATAGGTACATATATGCAAGTGTGTATCATATATACAATTCCTAGTAGCACACACACACACGTGTGTTTGTATATGATGTATATATGTGTATGTAACATATGACAAAATATCTGGGACAACCAGTTTAAGGAGAGAGGGTTCGGTCCATGGTCGGCTGCTCCAAGGCAGGAGCGTCATGGCGGATGGGTGTGCAGTAGTTCTGCTAATGAGGACTTTATTTTTGCATTCTGCCCAGCATGTTTCCCGTGTGCATCCGTTTTCCTTCAGATGTCTCCCATTTATCCTTCTTTGTGCCCGAGTGGTATTCCATTCTATGGCACCTATGCATAATATTATTCCTTTATTTCTAAGACATGTTCTCCTTATGTAGTCAGGGCTGACCTGAAACCCACGGCGATCCCCCTGCCTCAGCCTCCCAAGTGCTAGGATTATAGGTGTGCACCACCACGCCTGGCAGGAATTCCTTATTTTAGGAATTTAGAGCCATAGAAATTTGTGTAAAGGTCAAAGTCAAATATATTTTTTGCATTCTGCGTAGAAATATAAGCTGGTGCTTTCTCTGTCTCTCTCTGTCGTTTTCTTTTTTGTGGTATTAGTGTTTGAACCCAGGCCCTTTGCACTGAGCTGCGTCCCCAGCCTGTTCTTACTTTTTATTTTGAGACAGGATCTTTCTAAGTTACTCAGATGCCCAGACTG